CCAGTTCTGTTCAATCCTTGTTTTCATTCTAAAAATGCATAAATAATTCTTTCGCGTCAAGGTCTGTTATCAATACGAATATCGTCGACCAACATCAGGATCTAGAAAATGTCATTAAAGCATACTTGCAAGTTGCCAAATGACAGTGTCGGTAAGGCATTTGTTCCTGGTCAACGCTGTACTATCTGCTTGGCGTCAGTGTTTTGTGGTCGTTATGGCTCATGCAAGAAGTTGGAAAAAGCAACCAGATCGCTGACCACGAAACACGCCGCGACGCGTCAAATGTTTGCTCTCCGTGGGGTTGAATGCAGGTATGCACCATCCACCCGAAACGGCAATCACCGGAGACTTTACATGTTTGCAAACGCCGTAAACGCATAGTATGTGGATTTTATGCTGAAGAAAATAATGAGAGATTCGGGCCAGTTAGAAGTAGCATGCATCGATTTCGAAAGAAGTCGCTCGAACCGACAGAAAGGTATGATGCAGCGACCTGTGAGAATAGGAGAGACTTGTATTGGTGTGTGTATGCATCCGATTGTCGTGCGTTGTGTGTGTTAGATTTTGACCTCCCAAACAACCTCCGTTACTATTGCTTTATTCCTTGACGATGACTGCACTGGTGGATTTTTTGACAGATTTAGAATAATTCAGTCGATCCATTTGCGAAAAACTCGGCGGCTTCGGTGGGTTACGAACCCACGACAGCAAGCGCAAGGCTTGCGTACAGTCAACTCACTAACCACCTGTGCTGTGAGGCCCCACCGGAAGCCGTTAGTTAAATCACATTTGGGCCAAGTCGCCCAGTCAGCCTATAGTAATGTATGGAATCCACTGATTTTGATGCATTCACTTGTCTGCCCAGGCGGGATTTCCTAGGCAACCAACCTACAATCCATTTTATGAGTACCAGGTGTTTTTGACAGCTTTTGGATAATTGATTCTGATAAACTGACTTACGCCCACTTGTGATGTCATCCACGTCCACTAAATCAGTCGACTCAACTTTTCAATTTTACTGGATCCCGAATGCTTGCCTTCCATTGCATTGAACCGTTGGCAGGCTCCTGAGAGCATCTGAGTCAATTTCCACACCGGTCCCTTAGCCTGGAGGTCGCATGCTCAGATGTGCGTTAGCTCGGTTTTTAGCAATTGCAATGGCTTGTGCATTGGAAGCTTTTCTGTAACCGCATAGTCTAGAAATTGTCTAAGCCACCAGATGTCCGCAGTTTTCCGCGACATCCCCCCTTAGCCCCTTGTACGATTGAGATGTAGATCGCCATTTCTGGTCGTCTGCGGGTCCAGTTGTGAAGTGGTTATGGCACCGCAATAACAGGATCCCGGGAAGACGTGACCAGCTTCTAAGCCCAACTGCTGGCTACCAAGTTCGTCGATACATGGGGGGGGGGGGTGCAGTTGAATGACCTTCGGCGAAGTTAGTAGGCTTTCGAGTCTGACAAATGTTCGGTAGCGTGCCATTCGACGTCAATGCCCTCAGGTGCGACTGAGCGTCGATTGGAGAACAGCGCAACCAATAGCAGTATTGACATGGTAAATGCTGCCGCCGCCCTTAAACGGTCGTGAAACTATAAACTGACGTGCTTTAGAGATGAATCAGGACGCCGCTATTCGGTTCCAGGCATACACAGACACCAAGCAACCACTGTCTGGCGGGTCGCGGCTGCACTAGGTTTTCAGACGACTGGGAGACTGGTCCATGTCCTCTCGTGGGGACCCGCCTAAGACGGTGGAACCAAGGACAGCTACTCTCCACCAAACACCAACGAGGGGCATCGCAATTGTTTTCAATTTTGGTGTTTTCTGTGTAGGTGTTAGAACGGTGACTATTTGTGTTGCGTAGTTTGATCTGGTATACATTGACGTCTTTTACGCACTACGCTACCAATCCAGGTCGTATACCAGTTCACAGGACAACAGGCTACACCCTGCGGCTCCGGTTTACCTCCCCCCAACGTGAATATTGGAGGACCTGTCAGCGGGCATCAGGTAATCCTAACGCACCCACTGAACCAGCAGGGGCCGCCGATCGGTGGAAACGTACTGGCAACCCAACCTCAGTCGTTTGCGACTGCACCTGGTCACTTGATGCACGCCACCAGACAAGCCGTACCCATGCCTCTTCCGCAACACCAAGCTAATTCCCAACAACCGTGTGTCCAGGTTCTTCAACAAAGTGAGTCTACCCAGTGTTTTGCTGATTTGCAAACGTATGCACCATGCCTACGCAAATTTCCCCACCTATCCTTTTCCTTATTCCGTAGTCAACCCTGGCCCCGACAATCACGCCATGTCTGCGACTCAGGCCACTACTGGTAGTCCTGCAATGACGAGTCTTCCCTCCGCGGTTGGTCTGCAGCCGTGCACTGTAACCCCTGGCACAACGGCAAGCACAGCGGCCGGGATCTCGACGTTCGTAAATCAGCCACAAGCACCTCCACGTCCACCATCACCCCTCTTCGTCTCCCTCCCACCGCGAACTTCACGAGTGCTACACTCTGAAATTTATCAACGGTACGTCTGGCCCTTGTCTCTATTACTTATACCTCTCTTAAAGCAGTACCTTTTAGAGTACTTCTCTCAGGTTGGAAATTGCACAACGGCTAGAGGCACGGGACAAAACCTCACAAATAGTCTAATTGTAGGCTTGCTCCGCTTCTTCCTGTTAGTTCTGGGGTTTCTGTTTTTTTTTTCAAACCAGTTGATTCCCGGACTCCCGCGCTACGTGTATTGCGTTACCTTCAGCTTAACAGCGCGCAAAAACGGTCCCTCTGGCGTTTCTGATTTTGTCTGGCTGGCGAACTGCAATTAAATAGGTTTCCAATAACACAAATGGATGTGCTGACAGTGGCTTTTAGTTTGTTTCTAGACTTTTCAAAGGTAGCAACCTCAATGTGGCCCAGGCTGAGACCTGTGTTCGATACACACTCGGTCATTCCGTCACCACAAAACTCTGTCATGTTCAGCTTGAGTACTAGGCGCCGATACAGTTAGTAGTGTTCCTCTTTTGGTGATCATTGCAACGCCTGTCTGGGCCGTAATCAGACTCCGACTCTGAAGTTCCCGTCATCTCTGATTCCTACTGACCATATCTATCGACCGAGAGTTAGACTTTTTTAAACCGTTTCCCTTTGGCTTCCTACTGTCTCCCCGAAGATCATCTTCGAAGATGGGAGTAGAGCTGTGATGCCGCACAAGCTGGCATATCTGAATTTACCCTGAAATAGTTGCAAAGCAACTGCTGCCAACTACAGTTGGTAGTTTGTCCTTACCTGAACCTCTATTGTCTCGAAGAAGCTGACTTCCAGTTTGACGTTTCGGCGAAGAGAGGACCTAACGCAAACGGCAGCCGACCTACTAGCCTATCTTAGCCTTTATCTAAGCCCTTACCCTTGCAGCGCTCTAATTATGTTGCTTATGTGACACTCCAACTTGGTTTTTTCCAAACTCGCCCTCCATAAATGACCGTAGCTTATCAGGCCTGTAGCCGGCCAACAGTGCCGTCCCTACTCGCTGGCCCATTTGCTTTACGGACTTGGGCGCGAAATCTGCTGGGATGTCTTCTTGTCCTAAACGGCCTCTTGTCGACTACAGCGTCGAGAACATGGCCGCGGTAACACCTGATTCCAAACCTGCCTTTAGCATCGCATTCTGCGGTTTTCTCGGCCGTCGTCCCACCCGGTTAGACTTCGACCGAGAATCTACCAACTGACTGTAGTGAGAGCGATCATACATGCCGCAGTCAACTTGCAATCCGGAGCCAGTCATCTCAGGTTCCCCCCGTCAGCACATTCTTAGGTTCTGAAACGGTTCAGGAAGGTCCTGGTGAAGGCCTTCGTGGTCGAATAGGTGCCTCAATTGAAACGGTAGATTGATCCAGTCACAGCCGACAGTTACCGGCCGGACAAGGAGTACAGCAATCGATAACCGGTTGAGAGCAACTCTGGATTCACTACACCTATTAAGGTAATTAGAAAGCTTGTATCTATTTTTGCGTCGCGTTGCTAACCGTCGAACTGTCATCCGAATCCAAAGAAGTATTTACAACTATCGTGTCACCGACGGTAGACGTCCATGCTAATCAGGTCATGCTCTCCCGATGTTAATTCAGCCGTCATTGATTGACTTGTCTGTTGGTTCTACTAGGGTTCGGACGTCTGACGATTCGGGCGTGCTGCGCTTCATCCACTAGTTCGATTTTCTGGCCGACATTACCTAACGGGCCAGACCCTATATAGTCTTGTCTTCTAGGTATACCTAGACCCTGAGGACGCTGGTCCCGTAGCTAGCGATGATCAATACGTAGGCGGGTGACTTGTAGGCCAACGCTGGTGCTGCGCCATACGCTCCTTAAGATTACTGCCCATCCTCTCAGCGTATTCCGGTATTTGAAGAGTCTTGGTTGTCACTTCCTGATAAAGATACCCAATTATTCACTTTCCCCCCTTACAGCTACATCGACCGCCTGCGTCGAAACGCGCCAGGGCTAAGTGATTGGAGGAAGCAACTGGCGGCTACGGTAGACTCAGTGCCCCCGTTGACTCCGCAACAGCAGCAACAGATGGCTAACAACTTCCTCGACACACCCCATATACACGCTCACCAGGGCAGTATTGTTGAAGCGTTGTGGAGCCTGCGAGACAACCTACTCAAGGACTCGCTTAATATTCGCGTCCGGTGTCTCGGCGTGGAGGAATTATAGTCCACCCGTGAGATGCTCGTTTCTACCCGTTCGGCCCGCCCTTGTCTCTTTTTGCATTCACTTTGTTCCTTCCCCCTGCATGTATACCCATTTTTTCTCTTGTTGTCCAGTTGTTATATGCGACAGTCGTATAAGACAGTCCTATCATCACCGTCTCCCTTGTGTATTCCATTTTGACATCTTACTCCCGAAACCCCGTTTAAGGTAATAAAGCGTGAGCAACAAAGTAATTTTGTATTTAAAGAATTGTACACTGGCGTTGGGGACGTTGAGTGCAACGCTATCTGGCCTTCTTTGATGTTTGCCCCTTCTTGCCGAAGGAGAACAGGGGATTGGCAGCTTTCCTCTGAAATGTAGTAATTATTACTCAAAAAGAGCGACGCAAATCTTAAGTTTGTTCTCAATGAAATACATCAAAGACGAGATTACGTTGTATAGGTAAGCACTAACATGTGACTTTCGATGGCCTCTAGTTGTAGGGTTACCCGATTTCCGAATGAGTGAGCACACATATGTCAGACATGGTTTGCTTAGGTGGAACGTGAGCCATAACACGAGTGCAGTAGGATAATTGGTTTTATTTGTGGGGTGGTAGACGTTCCCCTAGTGTTTTGATGCTGATCATACAGCATTTAATAGCGATTACCAGAAGCAGTTTGTCTGGAAGTTCCACTACGGCGTCGAATTTCCGCATCAGCGGCGCGTTTTGTGGATACTGGCAAACTGTGAAATGCCTTCGGGCATCAACCGTACCCTCTAACGAAGTTGGTCCATAGCCGCGGTTCCGAATTGGGCCGCCGAGGGTTCATTCTCGGAATGAACTAGCCAAGGGCGGAGGCTGCACGCCGTCTGATAGGGTCCAATACCTACCGAAGTGATTCCAACCTAGTAAACATGCTGAGGCAGCAGTTTCTGGGCTTATTTCACAAGAATGATAGGGTGTGGTCACGCAGTAGTCTGCAGAAGGAAGCTTTAATGCCGTGTTTTGCCAGTACTGTGTGTAATACTTACCCGTCGTGCCAGCTGGGTTTTTATCTGAGCGAGCTTAGCAGGATTCCGGGCTAGTGCCATTTTGGTCTTGTGGCTACGCAGTTTCTTCAGTTTGATGTGGCTCGGGGCTTCCAGTCCAGAATGACCAACGGCAGCTGAGGAGGAGGAGGGGACGTCCTGTTGGCTCGGACGTCTGTTTTGTCGAAAACGTTGCCTACTACGGATACGTCTGGTCGAACTCTTGACCAGGGTCTGTAGGGAGGGCGGTACTGCAAAGAGAAAATAATACGCCATGAGTGGGTAAATAAGAGCTGGTGAGAGCCATCGTCGGCTTTTGGTGCCCAGCCTACAGGCAGCATCCTCGATGGGAGCAGATATTCCGGGTGCTCATCCAGTGGTTCTGAGAAAAACGATAGAAATTCAAAGGATAACGTCCACAAAACGACGTTTAAACAAACTCTATGGCAGTCCGTGGCTCCTCATTTAGTTGCACATTTGTGGAATGGTGCGACTGAGTGGGGCACGAGCGAGAGGCAAAGGCACTTTTCTCCAGCAAACTGACAGCACATTTTCCCACTGAGTGTAGACAACCTTTTATAATAGTCGACGAGAGGAGCAGACCCAACCTCTACCGCTAGCAGTGTAGGCAAAAATAGGAAGACGGGGCACCGCGGAATTGAGCGACAGTGGCGAGAGAACGCATTATACGGGTGATTTATCAGAGTTCCAAATATAAGGCCTTGTGACAATGCAGCATACGAGACCAGGCCAGCTTGTCTGACCTGAGAAATGAAGCTTTCTCAGCAATTAGAACTCAAGAAGGACTACCGCTGCCTCCTATGACAATCTTAGTTTGACGTAACACAAGTCTGTACGGTATCAGCCTTGCCCCCTTTTCACACCCAATGCGTTTTAATGACAAGGCTAGATCAGAGTGACTGCAAGTGAGCTTGGTGCAGTGGATGACCCCATGTTTATCGCGTTCCCCAATTGGCACGAGCCAGATGTTATCATAGCTGTAAGATTTGGCTCAAGGCCGTAGCGGGAGAGGGCGATCGGAGCCCGAAGTCCAGACCGAAGAGTCTTATCCGTTCATTTGGCAACTTCCGCTGCCGAAAGTTCGACCGTCGCGAACGAAAACGCCCACAATGTGTCCTGCGGAGTTGGCGTACGGTGGTGACTTCGGCAGCGAACTTGCGCAGCACCTGCCACACTCTCCATTCTCACTTGCCCGGCTCCGGCGGAAAGACGGTATGAAGACGACCGTGAATGGGCGCGGTAGCCGATATGGTTAAACAGCCCGTTGACGCGTGCAACACACGACCTGGTCCCAACAGCATGCACCGGGTTTTCACTAGGGGAAGCGTCTCGAATATCACATGGTAGGATCTTATCTGAGTCGGAGTGCTGAAGACGCTACATTAAGGAGCCATCACCGCCTGACGTTCAGTCCCGTGTAAGGCCGAGTTATCCATCTCATCTAGTCATGACTAGGCGCGTCATAGTGGGAAATGCGCTGGCGTGTTGTGAGGATGGAGTCCCCAATGTCGACCTCACTCTCACCTTCCTCTCCCATGCACCTGCTGACTGTCCGAGTTTGACGTGTGCTGCAATATTCGGCCGATTGTCAGGCCTGGAAAGTTGCAGTGAGAGGAAAGCAGTTTCTTCAGGACCATATTTGCTCAATCTCGACCCTGGGCGCAGAGGACAACCACTTGTAGGGATTTTTCCTCAAAATAACGCAAATTAACAGGAACGTACGGATGATTAACAAAAAGACATACCCATATACTCCGGAACATCTTTTAGATGGGGCTGAGCGACTGCAGACAGAGGCTTGTCGTGCCGTAGAGCATCGTAGTCGGCGGCGTGATCAGCAAAGTAACCTTTTAAACGTTCCGAATTTATAAGTTCCATTTTGATTTCCTTAAGCCGGGCTTCGCGAATACGCTTTCTACTGATTCTGCCAACAATGTCCTGTGGGAAGCGGATAGGAAACGAGTGAAGCGGACAAAGTCGTGAAATGAAAAATCACAAAGACCCTGGTTAAAATGCCAGTGCTGCATTGGGTAACCCAGAAGAGAGTTCAGTAGGCAAACCTATTTTCTATTACTTGTTTACAGGCCGAAAAATTTACACAGCGCGTTTGTTACTGGGAGGTTGGATAGAATGTCAGGTGCGTTCATTCCGATTGATCGAACAATAACGTGGAACACAGATAGCCGGCGGCCTGAAAATGTTCTCCAACTAACTGGCGAGGATAATGAGTGTAATTTATGTAGAGCAGAATTGTTTAGGCTATGACAGGCAAGAGATGACAAATGCTTCAAAAAGTCCCCAAGTAGGGTTTGGAGAACTTGGGTAGCCCGATGGGAAGTTATGACGCGTTTTGCGTCCAGCTTGACAGAGGCCGGCACCAGCCTGTCCTGCATACCAACAAAGGGTCAAAGCCCATCTTTCCCATGTAAAGTCGGAGCAACCTTTTTTATGCTCTAACTGCTGCAGCCCAGTGCATCAGCGACCGAGGAAGGAGCAAAACTTATGGGCGATCTGCAGGAGTGAAGGAACCCAAACATACGCAGATCACAATGAAGTGAACAACTGCTTCGCGTCCTTCAAGACGGTTTGCAGTCCCCAAGTCATAGGAAGACGCCACTGTCCAGTTCCGACAAAAAAACCCTCCTGATGGAAAAAACGAAAACTCTGGAGTTGACCACTTCGGAAGTGTCCTCAACTGGACATCAAAAATATCCGATGAAGTCATCAAGATACTCCTTTGAGCGAAAGCCAACGCAGACCTCAGCCGTTCGACCTGGCTGTATGATAATGTAATCAAACACCATATTCCTGCGGCGTGACACCGGACAATGACTCACTCTCTCACGAATTCTACAAATATAGCAGCCCACAGGTCACGGACAAACTGGTCTGGATATTTGAAGAAAAAGGTGGGCTCATCGAAACGGGTTTACTTAGTTGATGACGTTTTGAAGAGCTTGGTCAGCCCTCCATTGTCAAACCGTAATATGCACTTAATCGAACAGAAATCCCAAGTGGCAGTTGTGGAGACAAGGACAAGTCGCTCATGACATCGAGGACGCCACCTTCGTTTACTTCGGCAAAAAGGAAGCCGGCAACCCCGTGACAATCACTGCGGCGCCACCCTGCTTAACGTTACAGGAAAAGTCTTTGCCGGCATCCTGCTCTATTGTTTAGATCTTCACCTGGAGCAGGGATTTGTTCTTGAAACTCAACTCACATTTTGAGGGAACCACATAACCATCGACAAGATCGTCGCTGCCCGTTAACTATAAGAAAAAAAAACAAGAAAGAAGGACCAGGCTACACACCACATTCGTTGATTTGACAGTCGCCCTCGACACTGTCAATCGCGACGAGATTTGGAAAGATTTGTGGAAATTTGGATGCTCAAGGTGTTCCACACGGATGTCGCTAACTCGACGGATATAGAAGCTCGCGCCATGGACAACGGGGCAGATTCTAAAGCAATCGCTGTAACAAATGGGGTGAAGCTGGCTCATGTACTTGCTCCCTCAGTCATCAGCTTCGTGTCATACTCCAAGCTGATGGACGTCTACCGTGAAGAGCGGCCGCAAATGAACATCGCTTGCCGAACTGATGAACGGTTGCTCAACATCCGACGCATGTCGGCAACCACGTGAGTCTCCACGACCAGCGTTCATGATCATGTGTTCGCGGATGATTGAGCCCTCAGTACGACGACGGATGCAAACACGCGATGAAGCATGGATCCACTTACTTCCGCCTTCCGACCATGACACGGAGAAGAATGTGGTTATGTATCAATCAACACCATCTGATGAATACAACGCGCACATAAACGGAACTCTGTGGGCTGCGTATGTATTACATGTGGTATGTGTCCTACGGCGCAACGTTCGTCGTCGCCCGTAGCAAGCTGGGGGATGGACAGAAAGGGATCGAGTGAGATCCTGACCACAACAGAAAACATAGATAGTCTACGAAATCCAAACTAGAAGACTCAACCATTTTCACCTCAGGTGCCTCCGCTGCGGCAAGACAGGATCCCTGACACGGAGTTCCTGGAAGATATCGACATTCTCAGTATACACGCTACGGTGAGGCAGATAAAACTGAGATAGGGAGGTCACATTGCACGGACAGATGACAGGCGCCTGCCCATGTGACTAGTCTACCGCAATGTCACTGCGGGTACTCGCAGATAAGGCAAGCACGCCGTCACGGATCAATGCTGCCAAACACCCAACACCGCATGGCCGGCCGACGTTCAAAGCACCCACCGGATTGGTCGGATCGCATCGCATCCACTGCCGCGGCGACTCACTGATTTTAATCGCCTCCGACATAAATCGTTGCTATCACCAGCAGGATCGCGGAAATAAGCTGACCTACCTGTCCTCTCATCCTGTCCACTACCACCAACAATGTGGACTCAGTACCAACCGGTCACCATTGCGACCGCACCTTACACAACGGCCGGCGAATTGTTCGCACGTAGACCAGCGAACCACTGCCGGAAACCCCAGCTTACACGCTCCCTTAACTGTTCCGGAGCGTTCGGCTGTATAAACATCTAGGAAAATCTTCAGTAAAGTAACACGATTAAGCGAAAAATATAATACCACGTTTCACCTACACGCCTATGACAGTTCGACCTTTGAAAGCGCCGACAGCCACCGCGTGCCGCACGGACTGGGCGCTGTACCACTGACTTCGGCACGAATTAGTTTAGAAACAGACTTGCGCAGCATCTACTACAGCCTCTTTTTCCATCCACCTCGCTCCGATGACGAGAAAATGTTGACAGAACCGCGGATGGTCTTGGGTGCAGTTGGATGGTCCCCACTTCATGTACTAAGACACAATAAAGGCCATGCTTCCCACTTACGCGAGAGGTGCACGCTCTAACATGCGACGTTTCACCGTCGTGTGTGTCAAGTGTATATGGACTATTCAGCCCTGCCAAACACTGTGTCTAACCGCAATGTCAGTTGTTTGACTGGTTCGGACAGTCGACCGGTGGATGGGCGACGGGAGAGTGAGGCCGACACTGGGGAGCTCATCCCTACGGCGACTCCACGCATTGCCCATTATGATAAATCTGAGGCACGTTGACCTACCACGACGCGCTAAAGTTTGTGGCCTGAACGTCTGTCAACCGACGAAGTAACTCCGTCTTTTCATGAGCGCGGATCAGGCTGTAGTAGCTGATTCTTAATGCGGCCTTTATGGCAATCTCATCTAAGCGAGTTCAGAGTCGTCGTCATTAAAAACAACCGGAACATCAGAGCGTTGACAGACCGTATAGCCCTGTAAGCTGGCACACATTGAGGACAATGAGAGCCTCTCGCATTATAAACAAATTCACGCGCATGTCACAACTGCGCCCTTTCTTGCATAGTATAAACCTCGGTACCTGTGATGCTCAAACTACCACCAGGCGCTGGGATACACTGGTTAGTCAGAACTGGTAAGTCCTTTTGGATGGATTAACATCCAGACTTGTGCCCACACCTCACCTTTAGCCCTACGAAGCCTTAATGAGTCCGGCGACCGCACCCTGATAACCGCCCCAACTATGTTAAGCCATCTAGCGTCTGTGAAGGGGTGGCAAGTTGTGCGAAACTCGGTACAGTTGCGTGGAGGTGCTAATCATGTTGTGACGCGTGAACGGGATATTCGTGTCAGGTTAGTTCCAGTGCCTAGGCTATTCTCTTCTCTTCGTCTTCTAAACTGCTTCCTGGAACTCGCTTGTTCGCTTCTATCAGTATTCTCTTCATCTTGACCGAAATTTGTCAACAGAACTCAATGAATTCAAAGAAAATAGGACTGGAGGCCTGACAAGCCTTCCTTGCCAAAAGGTCAGTCATCTGACAAAGTGTATGGCTATTTGCACAGCACGGGGTGGCTCGCTTTCGCATGTGGACAGACAGAGAAGCCAAGACAGGGGAGACAGTTCGCAGTAGCTCTGGCCAATAGCCGCGACCGGACACATGCAAAAGTGAATTCAGCACTTTTGGTCTCGACAGGCGTGGAGCATTGTGGAGAACAGTGGCAATCCTGTAACAAATCTTGTTGAAAGTCATTAATTACACATGTGTGCCTATTGTCTGGTAGCTTTATTCGGTCTAGGGTGTAGTTACGTAGAAGAAGGAAGGAGAGGTAACCTAAACGTGTAAGTTTCTTTAAACCCACAATCCATACAAATTTCGATTTCAAGGCGGGTAGTCTGCTGCACCTACCGTCAGCTAGGCTCATAGCCATGAGAATAGTATGAAAACGGAATAAAGACGCATCACGTGTTCTATCCAGTCTGACCTGACCTTTAAGTTGATTGGCTGGACATGGATGATAGTTGGCAAGCATTCTTCCCTCCAAGGAACTCAAACTGACAAGTATATGAAATCAGGCAAGATTAAGAAATAAATAGGGAGCGCATTTTAAAGTTGTATAAGGCCATCCAATTTTACTCACGGCCGCACGATAACGGAAACCGTCCACTTCTGACAGACGAAACTGGTAAGGTTTAAAGACCGCATCCACTAAACGCAAGTAACAGAAAAAGAAAGCAAGAGTTAGGCGAGTGAATATGACCTGTTAACCTGAAGTCGGAAAGTTTACTAATACGCTAATGACAAAGTAGTAAGTTAGGTAGCTGGGTTTGGGACAAAGAACCGGTGTGCTAATTACAGTTGCCTAGGACAAAGTAAACATTCCAGTAGCTGTCTGAGACTTGTAAATGTCCGTGGGCCTGTCAGTATGTAAGGCATTTTCGCGGTTATATTTATAGAACAAATTGAGATCCCCTTCAGTCCATATTAATGGCTGATGGCTAGGAGATCTAGTCAAACGATTCCCTCGCCGAAAGTGTCGTCCGACAGTAGACCCCGGCGCAAGGACCAGGTTTTAAGTGAAACGATCCGGCTGACTGACAGTGCCAGGAGTGCGTGTATTCGAAACTATCGCTGAAAGCCTTATAAAAAAGCCGCAATGTCCGATGACGGCGTTGTCACAAGGCGACCATGAACCGTTTTAGTTCCAGTACGTCAACTGCAAGATGAATAAAGCCCTATTAAAGGGTATTCTCGTTCTGACTGTTGCATCCCGATTTGCTCTTGTTCTCCCTCTCGTGTGCTTGCTACGGTCCTAGCTACAACACTTTATTCCTCTTGCAATCCCTGAATGGATCGATTCCTTAGGCCAGAACGATTTAATGTTGATCCAAATTCTCAAGACGTTTCTGAACAGTGGAACCATCGGTTTCGCACTTCTAAAAATTTTGTTGTCCATGATCGATGGCCTGAAACCGAATAAGTTAAAAGTTCTGACTAACTACGTTTCTTAGACAGTCTGGGAATGCATCAGTGAATGCTCCAGTTACGAAGAAGCTGTTAAATTGCTGCACGGTCTCTACCTACGGCCCAAAAACGAAATTTTCGCCCGCCATCTTCTGGCAACCTGCAGACAGGAATGCGGACAAACCCTCGACCAGTTCGCTCAAAAGTTAAAGTCCTTAGCTAAGGACTAGGCATTTTAAAGCCGTTACGGCTGAACAACATCGCGATGCCATCAGGGACGAGTTCATCAGAGGCCCTTCGTCAAACCAGATTCGACAGATGTTATTGGAGCAGAAGAATTCGAACTTCCAAACTGCCTTTGATCAGACGAGGTCACTAGAATTGGCAGAAAGACGATCTCTGTTGTATCAGAATCCTCCGACGACGTCATTCTCTGTTGTTACTGGGCCATGTGAAATTTCGTCGAGTCCCGTTAAAGAACCTGGCGCAGTGGCTTCTACTTCATCCCATAGCAAATGTTTCTTTTGTGGATACATGCACCACCGTCCGATGTGTCCCATACGCGATGCCTTATGCAAAGGATACGTTAAAAAGGGCACTTCCAAAAGGAGCGCCTAGCATCACGAATCCGAAGAGCCGTCTCTTCCACTATGTATCCTACCGTTTCCACCGTAGCATCAGCTGCTGTTCCTGACCGTCTTTCAAGTGCAGTGGTCGAATTACAGGTAAATAGGACTACTTTTAAGGCCCTACTTGACATAGGTAGTTCTGGAAGTTATATTTCTTCAGTAGTGCTCCGAAATGAGTTGGAGGCTCATAACTCTCGCACTAAGATATCCACTGCCCCCACCGCCTTAACCAGCGCCACGCAAGGACACGTTTTTGTCTCTATTAAATATCAATGTACGATACACGAGTGGGTCAAGCTATCGGTCTTGCCAGATTTGTGTGCCGATGTTCTAGTTAGATCGCCGGGAAGACGGGTTGCCCGTTAGCCTAGATGTTGGCTATCCGGCGGTCCACAGGTGGCGGATAGCTGGACGACCTTCAGTGAAGGTTAGCTGCGAAATAAGAAGACCCACGTCTGACGAATAAGCAGTCGCGGACCAGCAGCGACACTAAGATTCGCGTGTACTGTGCATCTGTCCGGTCTGTCCTTCTCAACGGTTGTAAATGTTGGGTTTTGCGCATGGAGTTCGAGCGAAAACTGGAGGTATTTGACCACCACTGCTTGAGAATCATCCTTCGAAAGAGGTTCACCGACTTCGTCTCACATGAGGCAGTCCGCGCTCGCTGCGACAACATCGCAAGGATAACTCGGGCCATCCAAGAAAGACGACAGAGGTGGTTTGGGCATGTTCTTCGTCGTCCACCTTAGGAGCTCAGTGTTTCTGCCTTTGATCCGGCACCGTCGCCCTATTGGAGGCGTCGAAGAGGGGGCCAACCCAAAACCTGGCTCGACACAGTTCGTCAAGACATGGAGGTGGTTCTTGGACCTTCGGTATTCGGTCTCCGTCGTTGGCGAAGGGAATGGGTTGGGTTGTCCAGATCTGCTGCCGCGGACCGTCACGCGTGGAGGGGCACAGGTCGTAACATTATCGAGGCCGGCTAGATCAGACATGATCGCAGTCGTATCAAGTACAAGTTCTAGTTGAACATGACTTTCTTCGGCTCCACAAGTGTTAAAATCGATTTTGATGGATCTAAACCTACGTTCTCGCCTTGTTCTGTGGCTGTCGCCTGAGTCGAGCCTCCCTGTTTGTTTCTTAATCTGACACCGGACTGCAAACTTATCGCTACTAAATCCCGCTGAAACACCAATATAGATGAGCGATTTATACGAGAGATTCATCACCTTCTTTCCGAGGGTGTAACTGATCACTCATTATCCCCTTGGCGAGCCCAATTTTTGGTGGTAGCTATTGAAAACCACAAAAAGCGGATGATTGTCGATTGTGGCCAAACGACCAACAAATACACGCTTCTAGACGCCTATCCCTCCCCAGCCTAAACGAAATGATTGAACATACTGTAAACTACGATATGTATAGCACTCTTGATCTCAAGAACACCTATCACCAGATAGGCATCGGGGTAGAGGGAAGACCGTACACTGCCTTTGAAGCTTGTGGACGTTTATATCATTTTTGTCGTATCTCGTTTGGTGTGATCGGCGGGTTGTGTGCCTCCAATGGGCCATCGACGACATAATTACGCGTGAGCGTCTAAAGAATATTTACGTCTCTGTGGACAATATCACGTTTTGTGGGAACAGCCTCGCGGGGCATGATTCAACTCTTCAAAAATTCCTTAACGTGGCCTAGAAGTACGGACTAACATTCAATAAAACCAAAAGTGTTATTGCTGTCAAACAAATCAAACTTCCTGATTACAAGGTATCCACTGGCAAAGTAAAGCCAGATCCGGACCTTCTAAGGCCCTTGTGTGAAATGGCTTCTCCGCATAAGCTTTACAACGAGTTGTGGGACCGTTTGCATACTACTCACAATGGATATCTCATTTTTCAGATAAAATTCGTCTGCTTGTCTACAACGAGACTTCACCTTTACTACTGAAGGCAATGGAAGCATTTGAGACTCTAAAGGAGGAACTTGCGAAAGCTACAGTGGCCAGTGTTCAGGACGAGACCACATTAGTTGTCGAGACTGATGCCTCGGACGTCGCAATCGCCGCCACACTGAATCAGAATGACCGACCAGTAGCGTTCTTTTCATGTAGCCTTTCTCCAAATGAGCGACATCCTTCAGCTATAGGGAAAGACGCACACGCCGTAGTGGAATCCATGAACAAACGGAAGCACGTCCTCCTCTGTAATAGCCTTAAACTCATCACGGGTCAGCATTCTGTTGCCCTTGTTCTCGGCAACCGGCAAAAGGGGAAGGTCAAGAATGGTAAGGTCAAACGCTGGAGGTTGGAACTATCCTCATTCAAATTTGACATTATCTACCGACCTGGTAAAGAAAATCGGGCGGCGGACACGTTTTCCTGTCATTGTTGTGGCGCTTCACTAACCAGTGTCAATCTGGAGGAACTATATGTGTCACTTTGTCATCTCGGTGTCTCTCGGCTTTCACACTTTTCTCGAGCCCGGAATCTCCCCTTTTCGATAGAGGAGATTTTATATGTTTCCGCAAATGCCAGGAGTGCTGTGAAGTCAAACCCCGTTTGCCTAAGACACATGGCCAAATCATCAAAGCTACCCAACTGTTCGAACGATTGTCACTCGACTTCAAAGGTCATCTTCCGTCGGTAACCCACGACCGCTATCGGCTGACGATTATTGATGAATATTATCGTTCCCCATTTGCATTTGCCTGTCCTGATCAGACTGTTGAAACTGAAATTAAATGTTTGTGTCAGCTCCTCCATATTCGCTACTCCGTTATTGCACACCGAGTGGGAATCGTTATTTATGTCAAACGAAGTTCAGCAATTCCTTCGTAATAAGGGAGTGGCGACGAGTATAACAACTCCGTACAATCCCCTGGAAATTGGCAGGTCACACGTTTGAACCAAGCTTTATGGATGACTATCCTACTTGCTCTAAAGTCCCAAAGTTTGCCTGTCACGCACTGGGAGTCCGCTTTACACTCAATTGGGTCACTTTTATGTACTGTCACTAATGCGACACCTCATCAGAGAATTTTTGTCTACAATAGAAGCTCAACCGCTGGGACTACTCTGCTCATGTAGCTTGCCTTTCGTGGCAGAGTTCTGCTGAAGAAGGGCAGTCAGGAGTCCAAATTTGATCCGCTCGTTAAGAAGGTCGATCTGCTCGAGTGTAATCCCCAATATGCTCATATATAATTCAATAACGGCAGAGAGGAAGCTGTATCCGTTCGACTACTTGCTCCCAGTGGTGAAAAAGATATTGGTGATTGCCATCAGGAGATGGCCACGCCCGTACATGAAAATTCGATCCCATTTTCCCCTGACCGCCCACCCATTACTGAGCAGGAAAGTAGCACAATTCCAACTGACAAACAGAATGATGCAACACCTGTTAGTGCACCTAAAGCTGATGCTCATATGCACGGCCTAGAAACATTTGTCCAACAACAACAACAACAACGTTTTCATCTATTTTGCTTTCGTGACAGAGACGCAGCCACCTCCAGTCGTCTTGACTTTGGTTAGCTATCGGAGCACTATGGGTATTTAAGGAGCGAAGTAGATGCTGCAAAATCCCATCTGACCAAACAAGTTTATGTGCAAGTCACATTTGTGCCCACGTACTGGGGTAGCAATGGACGCCGTTGTTTGTGACGGCCGAACCATAATATTGGGAGAACAAAGAGTGTGGGTAATTTCATGTAAGGAGCACAAGCCACATTACCATGCACACCTAAACAGTCATGTAACATTAAAAAGACGGAAAGGTAGAATATTTTAAGACAGAGCTTCAGAAATGCACAAAGGAAACGAAGTAGAAAGCAGACTAGTAAGACATACCAGTAGACTTATCGGAAGCCCCAGAGGCTGCTGGCAGCCCACGCGTAAGAAGCGCAGCAACTTCGACCAGCCTGGGTTCCTCTGCACTACTAACAAAGGACAGTGCCGTACCCATCTGATCAGCTCGGGCTGTGCGACCAACGCGGTGAACGTAACGCTTGGCCGTCAGAGGAAAATCAAAATTAATGACGTTACTGACAAGCTTGAAATCGATGCCTCTGGAAACCCCGTATTCCGTATCTTTTGGGAAGTTTCTGAAGGGCGGAATAATACAACGGCTTATCAAGGCAGGAGAAGAACCGACCGAAAGAAATAAATAAGAGCAGATTTTGCGTTCAGGAAATGGTGTCGTCAAAAGTCGAACGAACGAACACTGTACCTTTGATGCTTCTTAGAGGGTTCCGCGACTTCAGTCGAATCATTCTCATCAGTTGCCAAAAGATAATCGTACAGTCCTCTGTTGAACTGTTGGACAGTATGGCACCGCGTCGCAACAGGAAGTTCCGAATTCAAAATAACAGTTTGGACGCCAAATTCCTCTAGAAAGATTTTTAGCCTGAACACTGTTGTTATGAGGAAAATGCACAACTTATAACAGCGATCAATGGAGTTCGTAAATATCATCGTTTTGCCTCTAACAAGCTTTAGACGGATCATCGCAATCAAGATAGCATATTTCGAGGGCTCTTCAGCACTGAAAGTGTTCGATTATTGCAATAACGTACCTTATCATATACTGTGTAAGTCGGTTGTTTGAAGGCAGAAAGTTTTCCTCAGGAAGTTCGACACGTACCCACTCGCCCGTGTGAATAGAGCGCCGAAGCTCCTTCGTTGTTTCATCGAGGGTGGCAGACATAAGAACAACCTGAAAAAAGTATATGGTCATGTTGGCAATCTACCTGCAGGTTAGTCTTCGGTAAGTAAGATTTTAACTCCTGGATATCCTTACCGTATCCGAAGGCGAGAACGAGATCAGCTTCATCCACAACAAGGAAAGTAAGGTCCTCGAAATGAAGCCTCTTGCGGTGCAATTGTGCCAGGATACGAAATGGTGTCCCGACAATAATGTCGGGCTTTTCAACAAGCACTGGTCTAATGGACTAATCTAACACTAGCAGCTCACTTACCTTAGTATATCAACATCAGAACTCTGCGCCACATCCACAACGTTCAGTTCTCTTGAGGCATACTTGCACAAGGATTTGATGTCCTTGGTGATCTGGTCGCATAGTTCCTTCGTGGGAGCGATTATCAAGGCGGATGTCCTCTGCTCAACTTGCAACTGCAACAATAAGACCATCTAGACCTACCAACTTTGACTCTAATATCATATGGATAATTGGGATAGAAAATGCGGCCGTTTTCCCAGATCCCGTCCTGGCTTGAACGCTCAGGTTTTTCTTCTCAAGGATTAGCGGTACGACGGCCTGCTGGATATCCGTAGGAACGTTCCATCTTAGATCTGAAATAGCCTTTGAAATAAAAAAAATGCATAAAAATACTTTTAGAAGTCTCTGGTCTATATTCATTAAATGAAACTCGTCTACAGTGGACATCACGCACTCAAAGTTATCTTGAAAACACTTTCAAAAAAGTATCACCTCAGATGAACGGAGGGGTATATTTAAGACGAGTTCTGAACTGCAAATAGTCAGTTAGCCCTGCAAGTCGATGTCATAATTTAAGAAATGCCTGGGGTTTAAGTTCGAATACTGTATTATTAAGTCCTAAGCAAATACGTATGAAAAGGGTTCGGGAGAATTCTATCATCAAAATCGGGAAGTAACGACGGATCAATGCGTAGGAAATCAATACGTATAGAAAAATCTCATAATTAAGATTTAAGGAACGACGTGGATTATAAAGGACGACTAAAAACATAACTTAAGAACATACGTATTTTAAAAAGCAAAAAATAATGTCGGTTGTATAATAAAGGAAAAGCTCTGTTTTATACCACTTTTCACCAGTTATACGGCATACATAGTCTTGCAGAAAATTAAGGGGGGCAGGTGAGATGGCAGTGAATAAAGAATACGCGGCTTGACGCAAGCACTTGCCCCTGCAATCCCAAAAGCAAATAAGCAATGTCAAATCTGAATGTTAGCAAAATATTTGAGGAACAGTCTGGAATTCCAACATGAGTAGTTATACTTATTGTTAAATTTCAGTTTGAAACATGCTCACTTTTGCAGCACTGCACTCCGTCGCAAAGTGAGTTCTGTCTGATTCTCACAGTATGAGCCAGAACGAACGTTGACTTCCTCCCTGATGGACTCGATTCACGCCTTTCTGTCTACTTGATCCTCAAGGTTTATTGGCTTTTAATGCTGTTTCGATCCGGTTTGGTTTATTTGGAATGCTTTCCTTATATAAGGGCTACATTATAATAGTCTGAAGTGAATTTTCTTAAAACTTCATAAGACGTCTTCAAGGAATACATAGGCGGCGCAGTGAAAAATCGTGCGTTCTGCATTACCTGTTGCATGCAACGAATTGCGTAGAAACTGCGCAAAACACAGTACCTTGAAAAGCGGGTGAGTTAAGATTCGTCACGTCTGCCAAGCTCTTGCGTCCTGGTAACTGCTTTGATGGGACCCCGACGGATCTTTAATAAAAATAATTAAATTAAAGTAAATTACAACTGAGTGACTGACAGTTTTTCGAGGTACCGTAACAATCACAGATAAGGGAGCTGGAAGCTATCATAAGAAGAGGGATATGTCATAGAAGCAATAAATATAAGGGATTGAAAAAAGCACGGTTACTGAATTAAAACGGAGGTAAAATGACATTACTCGGTTTTTTTGTCATTCTGAATCAATAATGTTCCGTCCTGTACTGTGGTCCATCCTTCAAAAGGGTGAATGACACTCGTAAGGTATATGTGATAAGGCTAGCATTTCGTTAAATAGTAATTTGTTAGGCAACCACGCAAGTTTGGCTTATGTGAAGAAGAACTGGCTTAGACGGACTAATTCCTAATAGTCACCGAAAAATAGGTGTGCTGAAAATGACGACAGTTATATTGCTCGGCGCTAAGAGAACACTGTCAGTGCAATGCGAACATGGTTTCAACTCTCAAGAATGTGCAAAATCATACCGACACAGAATTCTGTCTTAGCAGCAAATTACACAATGCAACTGGAGAAGGAAGTTGAATGAAGGGCAAAAATTAGTGATGTCCGACGAAGATTGGATATTCCGAATATTATTTTATGTTGGAAGCGACCTTATCGTCTGGGCTACGAGACATTTCCGTCCCTTTGTGCCTTGTGGCAGGATCTAGAGCCGCGAAGAGCCCCGCAGCGACTAGAAGTAGAGGCTGAATTCGACTACTAACAAAGACTAAGGAAAGAGGAGTGGTAATGTCTGGCTGATGGACCGTCGTCAGTCAGTCTTACCTAAACCCATCTCTGAGAAACTTGAGCCTCAAAGTCTTGCCCTTCGGCAATCGATCGTCAAGGAGTTTGAAATTGACCTCGGATTTCAAGTTTCTCGAACTTGCGAAGTGCTAGTTTCTACCCTAGTATGGAAGACATGCTGTTATGAAATGATTCACGAGAGGATTGCATAAATAAATAAACAATATTATTTATTAAAGACCCACTGGGGTCCCATCAAATCAAGTAAAAATAAATTTTCATATGAATTTTAGACGAAGTTCGGAGAATTCGTACAAAGAGCAGTTCATAGATTCTGAATAAGTAGTCCCTCAAAAGAAATTATGAGCCAGCACGGAAATGAAACTACATCTAGGAATTAAAAAAATGAATAGATTAACTTTACAGGAAAAAAATGTCGCTCATGAAAAGACAAAAATGCGGGCCGGAATGGCCTGCATGTGGCGGTGTATAACGGATTATTGTAGGACATCTTCAGGGCAGAAATAAATGTCAGCCTTAAGGGATACGTATGCAGGTCAGACTGGACATCGTCAGGGAAGAATTGATGCGCCGTTTGAGACTATCCGCGTCAAAGTGGCGAGATGAGAGTAACACAGAGTCGACTGGTAACAGTCCGCTTTGAACCCAGCCGAGGAGTGGACAAGGGAGATACGGCTAAACTACTAGTAGACGGCGAATACAGATGGCTCCCCCTTTAGTGTCAACAGACCGCTTGAGATCGAAATAAGGAGATGACATCAATAACCCCGACAATCGTCGACATGGGGAGGAGTGATTGCAGTGAATTTAGTAGCCAATTCATAGCAGGAGGTTGTAAAAATATAAGTGAGGGTTTCCACTTGATCTACCACCAAATCCCAGGAGGACCCTTCTCGAAGTCAAAAAGCGTAGTGTTCGAGAATGAGACGGTTAGAAGTGCCTTTATACTTTCCGGTGTAATGTGTTTGTGTTATTTCGATTTGAGTACTGATAACTTAGGCGATGAAATCATATCTGGTGGAAGATTATTCAAAAGGCAATTTGACGAGCATATGTCTGCTTTCGATAAATTTTCTTCAGGCCTGTACATTTATATGGCTATTGTGGTAATGAAAAACATACGGGCAATTAGATAATTAAGCTGCAGCTCGGGTTTGGGGAGGGGAGGGTGGGGGAGAATGAAACACAACAATTCCAGTCAGCGCCAGGGAGAAGGTGGGTCCCGGCGAAGGTAATTACATGCGGGTAGCTGGCATGGTGGCTTTGACCCATGACAACTGTGCGATCTGTATAAAGTTCTTCTGTGCGCATAGGACCGGCCCACGTAGCCTGATTATTCCAAAGGAAGGGATATTTGGAAGCAAAAAGGGGGGCACTTAGATGTAGTGCAAAGAGGCGTTGGAATCACCATGAAGGAGTTGCGCGTGGCATAAGACCGATCTCTCGGAGTGAGAGTGCCAATGAGCGGAAGATTGGAGCTAGAGTTAATGCGAAACAGGTAGCAAAGGCCAGCTTCGAGTCTTCTAACCCACAAAAACTTTATGCTCGTCAACTGACCATCTTGACCCCTTAGTCCGCTAGTCGTAAGAGGCATCATCCGACGAAATACTCGATCAGTTGATATATGGCGACCTAAGCAGCGCTTCTGAAGATGTAATTGAACAAGCGTTTAAAGTTATTGAGGTAATAAGCTCCGAATATGAGGATAGAATAAAACGGAAGCATACTTTTGTACTGCGAAACATTCCGAACAACATATCTGCGATAGAGTGAGCGCATTTGTTCCTGCGAAGTTGGGGCTTGGATTTCAGTGTCGCACAAATTAAACGACGGCGCTCGCTAAGCCGAAATGCGCCGATACTAGTGACCCTTTTCTCCTGGATAGAAGTCGAATTCTTCTTGTCGAGGAAAGAGGTAACTAGAGATTTCTGTCGTAAACTGCATTGCTCAGTTTCGCCGGACCTAACACCAATGCAGCGAAGACGAAACAAATTGAAATCGAAAACCAACATCGACATAACGACACCTGTTGCCATTCTAAATAAGTCTTTTTCATCATCATCTGTGGCCCCATCACCTCATGTCCTATTCGGTTCCGTAGGGAACTCGGCTATTCTTGATGCTGAGATCTTTAAACGCATCAGCATGCCTGGTATAAAAACGCTCCTACTGACTCCCCTAACAATCCCTAGAAAGCCTAATCATGTGCTTAGTCAAAGGCGAATACAAATGCCGTCAAAACGCCTCGGGCATCGGGTAAATCAAGCTCCGTTATGAAATCTTTTCCTCCGCATTTGCCTGCCATTGCCTCAAACACCACGGCCCAAAACTAGCGTATTTGGAACTATCCCCAGCCTTCATATCGAGGCGGTTAGGCCGAATATGCCGACATTCCCGCCTTTTAATAGAACCCCTGCTCCAATGGAAGCAGTGCACCCCCCACCCCATCATTTTTCCTCTACGGCCGTTTTACCAGTGAATTCCTCATGCTTACGTCCATACTGGGTCAGGTAACTCATCCGCTTCTCAGTTTCGCTCCGGCTGGAATACGTTGCAGTAGCCGACCGATGGATTTCCCGTTGAAAATGAGACAGGTAACAATGGTCACCAGTTTCCCTGCCCGTCATTTCCTTCACAAAATCCTATTCCTCTTTATCCACTTCAGGTATTTTTGATGCCACAATATGTTTTGCAGAACCGGATGGACCGTGTGTTCCGTGGGTACTCAAGCACTGGACGGCGTAGACGATCTCCCTTAGAAACAGTCTTTCCCCATAAAGTTTGTGGTCTGAATGCCAGATCCTTGCTAAATAAGATGCCCTTGCTTCAGAGTCGGATGTTCGTGTATTGTCCACATAGTATTTTATAACTGAGACTTGGGCAACAGCTGTCGTAGCTGATCCAAACTCCGTATTCTAGGCTATAATTACAGTCGAAATGATCGG